GGTTTCAATAGCTCCGCAAATGCAATAGGAATAAGTCTTTGCATGAATACATGGCAATCATGACTCTTCATTCCCATAAGTTTTAATGAATCAGTATCAACACATCGCGCCAATTTGGATGCATATCCATCAGGGAATTTAACCTCTTCTTTTAACCATTTAAACAACACCGTTTTACCTGGTTTTGTGTGGTAGAGATAACTTCTATCGTCTTCGTTGGTAGCCCTCTTTTTCTTCATGAGATTCAAAATAGAAAGAACTGAAGTAGGAGATCTCCTCTAACAAATACTGTTTGACGATAGATCTTTCCACTGCTGCTTTGTTTTTTGCCTTCTTCTTCAGATGGAAAAAAAATCGCTCAAATGGATACATCCATCTAAACTGTACTGGACCACCGTATATCGCCTCATCTGGTAAATGAATAGGTAAATGTTCCATCACATCAAAAAATGAAGGTGGAAATACCTTTTCCAATGCGCAAAGTATCTCAGGAATGTTGCCTTTCAAAACCTCTACATTACTTCTTCTCAGAGATCTTGCACGCCTCGGAGGCAAATCTGAAGAATATTGGTTAACTGTACAAGAGTACAATCACATCGCCACATATATACTGTTGAATTGTGAAGAACTTCAGCCATACGAAAGGTACACATTTTTTAATCTTAGATGTGATTAGAAATTAATTAATTACATATTTGCTAACAACTTTTTTTTGTAAGACTTTTTGACGAGGATGTTTTGGCAACATATCCTAATCTAAGTGGGGAGGAACTTGAAGGAATGAAGGAACAACATTATGCATCTTGGCTACGAGACTACGTAAGTATTGATCTAGCTATATATATGTACGTGTATATGTATTTGTGTAATAATTTAATTTTTATGCGCAGATTCAATCATGTAGTGATAGAATTCCGGCATGGATCAGAGATATATCACATGGACCTGGAAGAAAAGTCATTTGCTAGTCGATAATGTTCACCCGAGGATACACGTTTCACACTTACGATCATGGAAAACATAAATCCACGTTCAATTACGGAGTTTGTATAAAAAGCGGGCCATCGGAAGATCCTGATTTCTTTGGGGTTCTTCGTCAGATTTTCCAACTCCAGTATCCAGGATTAGTCGGGTTGAAAACAATCATATTCAGATGTGATTGGTTTGATACAACGTCGGGACGCGGCTCACGGAAAAATCGATGGGGAGGTATTGACATAAACCCGAAACGTTCATATGCAAAGTACGATCCTTTTATACTTTCAGATCAGGCAGACCAGGTATGCTTCATTCCATATCCGAAACATTCTGCGACATCGGTGAAACGGCGACGGGAAGATCAATGGTCGGCTGTTTTGAAGATTAACCCACGAAGATTAATTATCGTGGATTCGTCGTCGACAACACAAGATCTCGATGAGCCAATGCAAGAGCAACTCGAAGATCCGGTTCTTCCCATCCGACTAGATGATGATTACGACGAGACACTTGCACTTCCTGACATAGACGACGAGTTACTTGATGATTCGTTACACGTACAAGACGATATAGACGAATTCGTTTCGGACCATGATACAACTCCGGATGATGAAAGTGATGAAGATTCTATATAGACTTATTTGTTTTTATTGTTTTCATATGTATTTGTATTTTAAAAAATCTATCATTTTTTTTTATTTTTTTTAAAAAAAATTGTTAAATTCCAACG